AAATTATTTAATATCACAGAGTAGATTCTAAAATTTTAAGAAGACGTATTGATCTAAAATTAAAAAAAGAAGATCTGAAGAAATTCTGTTTAAATAAAAGAAGATTGCTTTGAAAAACGCATTATAGCTCTTTTGTTAGCAGGCAGTATCCGAAATATGATACTTTTAAGTTTGGATAAAAAACAGAATTTGCTTTAATTGAATTTTCTAATATAAAATAGATTTTAAATTGATAACAGTTTTCGTTGTAATAATAAATTCAAATTATACTCTAATAAAATTCATAATTTATTATCCGATAAAGACATTTACTAGCGAGAACATTTATCTTTATACGTGTGTGTTTCAGTTCTTGAAAGCTCTATTATTTATTTATAGCCTTACTTCTTTTATTTTTGTCGTAGTATCATATTTCGATATCGTCCTAAGATTTTTTAACATTTCTTTGCAGCAATTCCTCCCTGTTAGCTATTCTTCCCGCATTATGTTTGTCTACCTTTTTGGCATCGTGCAAAGGAAGCTATTAGCCATAGCCTTGGCACTGCACTCGAATCCCACAGAAGGCATGGATATTTGAAAATGTGTAGTGTCTCTGCGCAATGGAGGCACTTAAAATACCGTCGTGTCGAAAGCCCTTTCGAGAGCTAGAGAAAGAGAAGGGAGACCCTCGGGTTGACCCTCAGGAGCACTCTTCGCGAAAATTAAGACGGATCGTCCCTTTTCTCATTAAGTGTAATTCAGATATCCCTTTTGATTCACTCTGGGTAATGCACTAGGTGATAAGATGATTAAATGATCAAGGGATACGGCTTTTCTCGACGAATGTTTAGCTAACAGTCATTGCAAAAAAAAAAAAAAAAAAAAAGAATAGTGAAGTCTGAGAATCCTAATTTTGCCCCTTTCCTCCAATCAAAGACTCGAATTAATGAGGAAACTGCGTATAAAGAAGTAAAATCGCTTTGAATTAATAACATATTTAAATATTATTGTAATTTGAATTAAAAAATTGTGCTTTTATTTTTTCCATATTTATTACAGACGTGTTCTGTTTTCTTAATGAGGTTAATAAACTGTTGATACCCTATATAAAACCTAATATTCACGCTATTTAGCATTGTGAAAATATGTATCTAAACATTATTGTAATCTTAATAAACTATACATTTTGTTTATCAATATTTGTTACATGCTCATTCTAGTTTCTTAAGTAAGTGAATAAGCTAATGATACCCCTATATTAACACTGATATTCACGCAATTTAGCATTATGAAAAAATTTATATCTCAATTTTTAAAATAGAGTTGAAGATGCACTTGTTTAAGCCAGCTATTTTTGTTTACGCTGCCCTTCACCATCCAAAAACCTATTGCGAGGGACACATTTCACATACCATTCATTCTAATGCTTCGTAAAGGACTCTATATTTGATCTGGGAAGTACTGCTTAGGCAGTAGAACTCCAGAATAATGCTACACTATCGCAGTATTTTTCATTGCCAGATTTCACTATTGCAGGCGGAATTCAAAATTAGTTCTGATTATCTAGTGGGCAACGTTGTATGCTACGTGTTCTGTTAACTTCTGCTTCATTATGGTACGTCAGTGGTATTCATGTTTTCTGAAGAATAGTTCAGTTTAAAAATATCCTGATAAGTAACGGATTTATAAGTTGCTATAACTTGGTAATTAGACCGAACAAAATTTGGAAAAATTCATCTGTAAGTACTTTTGTTATTAGTTTACTGAATATTACAAAGGCTGTAGGATATCTGAGGGAGTTTTCTCGCTTTCTCTAAAAAGAATGAATTGAATTCAGTAGGATTTTTTACATAATTAAAATAATAGTGTTCCTTTATTTTTTTTACTCTGAGTAAGTCAATAAAACAAGTTTTGTTAACTTCGGGTATTAATTAAAAATGCACTATAAAGCATTTTATTAAGCTCCCTCAAATGCACTTTGGAAAAGTATTTAGGATTTTTAGTAAACATTATTGGTAAGCATAATGCACTACGTAGTTAAAATTTATGTAAATTAATAACGTTACATTAATTTGAAGGTTTTCTTTCCTGGCTTTTTTCTGTATTTCTGATATAAATTTGTTACAAAATAGACTAATCTCAAATATGTTACGAATTTATTTTTTTGGTAAGTTTGAGGTGTGGAAGGGGAAATAATCTTAAATTCATTAAATGTCTTCTAGTTAGAAGTCTTAAAATCTTATTAGTATACAATTATTTTATTGATATAGATTTATTTTTATTATCAGTATAGTACACCATCATTTTATTATCAGTAAATGTAAGTTTTATTTAGATAAAAATTACACAGTAAGTTATGTAATTTTTATCTAAATGAAACTTACAGAAAACAGAAAATAGTTTACGTTTCTCATGTACGATAAAACGTGCAAACTTTCATTCTCAATTTTCACTCGTATTTCTTTTATTTCAGTGTTTGTTAATTCTTGTTTTGTCATAAACGAAAGCTTCGTGAAGCTTAGTAAAAAATATTAATTTTATTTTTATCTAATAAAAAGTGTTTTCATATAAACGCGTAGGTTGAAAAATGTTAAATACCGTTTGCAGTCAAAAGTTTTTTCTCCAGATATGCTGAAATTCCAGAATTGTGGAATGAATGAAATTTCATCTCACGAAAAACTGGCGTTTTCAAATTATGGAATGTTATATCTATAGCAAGATATGCGGAGAACCCCATATAGCTTTCTTTCAAAGAGCCCCACAAGTGGCCGAAAGGTTAAGGCGTCTGAATGATGGTAGTTCGACCCTGGTTCAAAACCAAGCACATGGGCTGGCTGCACGGTTGTTTTTCGTAGATTTTCTCATGAATTATATGAATTCGAGCCAGAGTACCTTAGCAAGATCCTTTACAATGATATCTTTTCCCTTAAGCAGATAACCCTCGTGTGCTTTGTAATATTGAATAACCTCGCCTTTCTTTTAAATGGGTATGTAATTACTAAAAATTTGCATTTTAAGATGTTATTATAAAGTATATAGATATGATACATACACAGGGCTTGAATTTTATCCTCTATGTTCGTTATTTTTTAGTGATTTCTGAAGAAATTAATTTTCCAGCAACTGAAATTATAAAAGTATTAAAACGCGTAGTAGCCAATTAAGAAATATTTAACCTCTTTTAAACGTTCTGAAGTGTCTGAAAAATATCTAGAGCAGTGGTTCTCAACCTATGGTACTCTTACCACTGGTGGTGCGCAAGAGGAAAATAAGTGGTACGTAAAGAAGCTAAGTGTTTTTAACTATTAAATTCAAAAATTAAAACCCGAACATTCTGATTGCGTTTTTTCTCTAACAATCTTAAATTTATGCGATCTGAGCTTTGTTAAAGATTGTTGGAGATAGTATTACTTTGTAGTGGTCGTACTAAAGGTTTTCAATTTTTGTTTAGATGGTACGCGTTAGACAAAAGGTTGAGAACCTCTGATCTAGAGCTTACTCCTCAATCTAATTCAGAGTAAACAGCCAAATCGAGAATTTTTATTTGGTGTCAAAATAAGCACACTATTAGATCTTGATATAGAAAGTAAGACCAGGGAGAAAACAAAAATTAATGAAAAAGGGTGCAGTTCAGAAAATGTTTAATGCATAGAGTAATTATTTATTCGATACTATATATACGTAAGCGATACTGCATATCACAAAGTAGAACTGTCAGTAATAAGTTCTAGCACATAAAGACCATATTTAAATCACTTTTTTCGGATTTCTTTTTTTGTTATAGGACATACGCGGCAAATAATCCTCTCATAAAGTTTATTTGCTAATTTAATACTTCTAGAGAGAAAAACCTTATTTCGACAGTGTGAAATGTTCCTAAACGTAAGAAAGGCATACCTTCAGTTAGTTACTTAAATACATAACTATAGCAGAATAGAATGATACATTTCAAAAACTTCTTACTGCGAATACATACTTTGAAAACACCAGCATTCTGAAGACAAATTATAAGAGATAAGGAAAATGTATTTTATTTAACAGAGTAAAATAGACAACATTGTGTCATACGTATGTCTATATATTACATATTTCTATGAAAAATTGTTTGGCCTTAGCTGTCTGATATTAGGAGAGATCCATTTTTTCATTTTACATGTTATGGAACTATTAAGATTTACTTTCTTTATTCAGTGGATTTTAGTACTAATTTAAAATATTTTTGTCTCTACTCTTATATGCACCCTAATGTCACCAAATGTTGCGATATGTGTTCTGCGCTGGTTTTTGGCGCGATTGCGTGTTGTATGGCAACTCTGTTGAGGTTGAAAATCTTTTGTTGGAGTGTTTTAATTGCTCGTTGGTTCGTGTCGTGGGTATTTTGAAATGGCCTATGTTGCAATGAGAGACGTGGTGGCTAGATTTCAGTCGCGTATTTTAGATTGTGTGGAAAGTAAATTTAGTATGAAAAGGTATGATGTTGGAGTGGTTAACGAGTCTTTTGTTCACGGGTGTGTTTATGCGGATCGTAGTGTGTTTTTGGAATTTCTGTGGGAGTCAGGACTTTTAAAACGGAGTTTGCCGTGTTCGAAATGCGGAGCCGATATGAGAAATCGGAGGAAGAATGGTATTTCTGCTAGACTTGTGTGGGTTTGCAGTCAAATTGTTGCTCGTAAAGTATATGGGTGTCAGCGGAATTTAAGATTTGGATCTTGGTTTTTGTGTAGTAAGTTAACGTAGGAGGAAGTTTTTATTCTTGCTTTCGAAATTTTGAATCGTAGAAAGACATGTGATATAGCAAAATCGTGGCACTTTCGTTCACAGACGTTGTGTGACTGGTGAAATTTTATTCACGAATATATGTTGGACTTTGTATGCTCTGTGTCTGAGAAGATGGGGGGGGGAGGAAGATAAAGTGGTGGAAGTTGTTGAATCGAAGTTCGGCAAAAGGAAATATCATCGGGGCTATCCTGTTGAGGGGCAGTGGGTATTTGGAGGTGTGGAAAGAAGGTCTGGCAGATTATTTTTAGTGGCTGTGCATGATAGAAGTAAGGAAACGCTGATGCAGTGTAATTGAGCCTGGTACAACTATTTTTTCGGATGGCTGAAAATCTTACAAGGATTTAGAAAAAGAAGGTTTTAACATTTATTTGTGAACCATAGTATACATTTTGTGGATAGCGAGTCTGGCTGTCATATAAATACCCTAGAGAGTACGTGGCGTCGTGTTCAAACTACGTTGCCTAGTTTTAATCGGAAATACGATTTTCAGTTTTATTTGGCTGTCTATATGTTTTTTCATTACTGTTATGAAACTGGAGAAGATCCTTTTAACAAATTTGTAGAATGGGAGAAATTAAAAATGTCTTTGTAGAGTATTGGAAGAAAGTGTTTGTGTTTTTTGTTTTGGTGATGTTTGAAAATTGATATTTCTGCTGTCAAAAGAAGCTTTCATTATGGTAAGTGCATTTTTTTTCTTATTGTTTGTAACTTAGTTTATTTGGTTAATATGTACACAATGCCTAGATTGTGGAATTCGTACATTTTTAAGTTTAAACAGAACGCTGTGTACATGGTATTCTTTGAAATTTATTGCTATGTTAATTTATTAAAGCAAGGTGTTCGTAGCTTCCTTCGCTGCCGAGATTGTGCAATTCGCAGATGTTTTCTAAAGTTGAAAGATATCGATGTGTACATGGATTCTTGTCAAATATTTTTGGTTAGAAACTTTACGTTTTTGCTATCTAAATTTTTTGTAATTGTTTCGGATTTTTAGCTTAAATTGTGTTTTCAAAACGGGGATTTGCATGTGCAAAAACCCATTTTTGGAGACATTTTGTGCTTAAAGTTCGAAATGTATCAAAAAATTTAGATAGTAATATGACACCGTGGTGTTTCTTGCCAAAAATGTTTAGCGAGAACTTTGGCGACTTGAAGGCTCAAATGAGAGTAGTTCCTTTTTTTTTCTTTCTTTTTTCTGAAATATAATTTTCTATAATATATAATATAGCAGCAGCTTTCATCAGTTTCTGGTCAGTGGCCGTAGGTTAAAACAACTGAATTTTTTAAGATATGTTGATCTAGTTTCTCATAATTCCGTACCTGCGCTAAAGTAGTTGCAGTGTTTAAAACGTACATTCGCGTAGTACAAAGAAACCCAAATAAATAAATGGTACTTTTCCGTTTCGCCGGCGCAAATCTCGCCAGGCAGACTTTATTGGCGACAACATACAGTATACACATAAAAAATATTTAAAAAAATGTTAGTTCTAAGAATTTTTTATTTTGAAGGCATAAACATTTTAATATCGCTTAAAATTTTATAAAAAGCCAATAAATAAAGACAATAAATTTGTAAAAAGACATTAATTTAAGAATTTACTATGCTTTCATGGTTCAACATCCTGATTCGCCGGTTCCTATCACGTGACCCCAAGCGATCTCATCTCATGTAAACTACAAAAATCTAATGTTCTCAGTAATTATCTACATTAATTTCAAGTTAAATCTTAATTTGGAACACAAGTTTAAATGCAACAAATATTTCAATTCGTACGAGTAGCTTACTCAGAAATTATGTAAAACTGCAGTGCTTTACTTCGCTAATGCATTCTCATTAGAATGGATGAATTTAAGCCTTGACTTTACCTTTTCTATATTTTCGGCTTCGGGTAAGCGCTGTGATTGCATCCTAATTGACTTAATTACCGAAAATGGCCTTAGACATAAAACTGTACTATCTGATAAAAATCCTATGTAATTATATGCCAGTATTGAAAGAAACAATCAATCTGATAAGAAAAAGCTGCGACTTGTTTCTAAAATGAGGCGTAAACGGTTACCAGCGAGAATATTCCGTTTGGAATCGGTTGTACCGATCCATTTGGAATCGGTTGTATTGGCGACTTTATCGCTTGCGCCGGCATAACGGAAAAGTACCAAATAAATAAACTATAAAAGCGCTTTTGTAAAAATCATTGAAATTTTTCTTTATACTTTCGTTAAAGTAATTCAAATTAAATAATATTCCATTAAAAAAGCAAAATAAATTCACAATCAAACAAAAACGAATATTCGCCAGAAAGTATTTGCGTACGTATAACAGAATTTTTGGCTCTTGCTTTTTGTATTACTAAATTAGTACTTTCCTTGTAAACCCTACTATTGCTTTTAAAGGATTTAATATATGGTCCTTCAGACTTAAATTTCAAAGTTAAAAAAAAATTATGATGTAAGAGTAGAAGAGGAAAAACCTCTGTGGCTCACGTCCACGAAAAAAGAACCGTTGTCTCTGAACGAAAAGATTTAAGCGTCCTTTCTTTTAAAACAATACGTTAATAAGTTCAAAGAATTCTCGAAATGAATATTTCACGACAATAGCAAATTATGCATAATTGATATTAAAATAGGCAAATTTATTTAGATAGAACAGAGCTGCAACAGCTCAAGAAAGAAAATCTAATGTCAGCTATAAAACATGGTGGATGGGCTATATCAAGCAAGTATACAGGAAGCAGTGGCACGTGGCAGTGCTAATCTACGAAGTCCACTTCAAAGATAATAGATTATTGAAATAATTCAAAGCAAAATTTGAAACAATGCTAAAAAGCCTGGGATATTAACAATTATATCCTAGACGCAGTGATCTCGAACTGAAATTACGGGCCCCAAAAGCACGATATGAAGACAGCTGAGTTGCAACTGGTTGCAAATTTTAACAAAATGAGTTTTTTTAAATGTTAATAGAGTGAAATTTTTATCTAAGTTTTAAATTTTATTGATCAAATATTTATTAGAATATACATAAGTAGTAATAACGAAAAACAAAGACGCAAAGCAAAAATTCCAATTTATACATATTTTCTGTGAAGTCTAAAGTTTGATATCGGTAAAAACTTTCTGTTGGTTAGACTTCAATTCAAGTAATTCAGATATGGCAGCTAAATATTAAATTTTGTCTGATATTTATTTCAAATAATTCTAATATATTGAATTAATTATTAAGTCACATTAATTTAATTACAGAAACTTTACAAGCGAGATTAAACTTAACGAATAAGTAATCATAACCTAATCTTTTACTTATTAAACTTTCCTTCGACACATGAAAAAATACGCATATATTTTATGGAAATAATCATAAACTTTTTCTTACTGCAACACCTCACGGCATTTCGATTTTGATGAAATTTTTAGCTTTGGACAACAATTATGTGAAACTATCTTCAAAATGAATTGTAAATTATCATCGGTCAATCTGGTTCCTTTCTTAATAATATTCAGCTACGGAATAAAATTGTTCACAAATAAATACATACATAACCATATATGTAACATATTCACATATAAACACTTCCAAACAGTGATAATTCTTAGTGCAAAAATTCTGAATTGAGGATAATTATCATTTGTCAGGTACGAACAAAAATTAATCAAACCTGTATCTTCGAATTTTTTAATAAGATTTATATTAGTGTAAATTAGTAGACTTTCCGAAGTGTTACTGAAGTTCATTTTTGGCAATGTAGTTAATGTAAAATTGGACTCCAAATCATTAAAATAGCAAAATTTCTTTAGATTCTAACTAATGTATGTAAAATGCATTCGTGGGCATGTTTAAATGGCTTCGGAAGCTGCCAGTTTGAGACCACTTTCTTAGGATAACGACCCTATGCATGCCGTGTTAAGCAGGCAAAGCTCTGGATGCTATCTGCTAAAAGAGTTGCATACCCTCTTCCCTCTGTTCTTAAATTCCCAATTCGAGTACAAGACAGCATTTGAGGGATTTGCTTGAAAGTAGAATCCATCAAAGCAAAATAATTTCAAAGAATATATTGAAGTTGAAAGTAGAATGAAGCCATATAAACTATGAGCGCGCATATAAATTTGTCATTTCTGGAGGTTTATCGAAGTTCTTAAAAGAAAAGAATATCTTATAAGATAATTGCTTTATAATATTCTTTTAATTTGATGCATACCGTTTTTCTGCTAATATTAAATTATTTCCTAAATTAAGATTTTTTTTTCTTTACTTTTAGAATAAAGGAGTTGTTTTATTTCTTATTATTTGAGTATTGAAGGTATAAAGAAGAAACATTGTCTTGCTTTTCATAAAAGTATTTTTTAATAACCCCCCCCCAAGACTTTAGGCAGGCCATTCCATTCGAGGAACTCCATTGGAACCATACCAAGCCTTGGTTAACGTCGAAACATGACAACTGGCATTGTCGTCCTGAAAGTAACAGGGGTCCGACCCGTAAAACTGCCACAACGTAGGAAGCACATTGTCATCCAAAATAGTGCAGTAGGCATCGGAGTTGAGCTTACCAAGGGTCCCAGCCCATACCAGGAGAAACACCCCCAGACCGTAATTCCACCTCCGCCGAACTTGACTGTTAACAGAATGCATTCTGGCAGGAGACGATCTCCAGGTAGACGCCAGACCCTGCCATCCGAATAGTAAAGGGTGAACCTTGATTCGTCACTCCAAAGAACCCGTTTCCACTGATCTACGGTCCAATTTCGATGTGTTTTGCACCACATTAACCGAGCAGCGCAGTTGGACTTTGTGATCAAAGGCTTATGGGCAGCAGCACGACCATGGAAACCAAGCAGATGTGCTTCCTTGCGGATGGTATTCATTGAAACAATACTCCCGGATGCCTGTTGAAACTCCTCGCGGATGAGGGCCATCGGTTGGGTGCTGTTCTTCCGAATTTCTCTGGACAGCACTCGTCGGTCTCTATCTCCCAGTTTCGTTGGTCTGCTGACTCGGGGCACATTCCGACAATCACCGCTCACCTTCCACTTCTTAATCACATAGGCCACTGTCGATTTTGGGTACTTCAGATGGCTAGATATGTCCCTTAAGGATCGGCCACATTTGTTATACCCAATAATTATACCTTTCTCGAAATCAGAGAGCTCCGAACTGCGAGGCATCTTGCATGCGACTAAAGCCGATGCTGTTTCCTACACGATATATAACGGCGGAGTCCGTGACGTACCTTAGGACCGCAGATATCGTCATTTGCATAGGTGTCCAAATACTTATTGGTAGTCAGTGTACTTCTAGTTACAGAAGTGTTTTAAATGGCGAAAATATTCTCATGTTTTGGCAATGTCAAATTTTAAAAAAATCAAATTACGAAATGCAGTTTTTATTTTATGCATTTAATGCGGTTTCCAGGTTCCCACACTTATATTTCTGAAAGTTATATACTCGTTTTTAGGCATATATATATATACGTATATAAGAAGTTTGACCTCCGATACGACAAAAATTCACCGGGATATTTAATTTCAAAATTTGTTATTTTCCATGCCATTTTCAATTTACCTTGAGGACTCTGTTAATTAAGTTAGAATAATTCGAGCAAATGAGTTTAAATGAAGTGTAGGAAAAGATATTTTATTTAATAGGCGGTACAAGGAAGTCATGTGGTGTCCACATCAGATA